TAAACTGGGTGAGAACTCAAGATACCCTTAAAAGTCAAATTTTCAAGAGTGGGCTGGGTCACGAAACTTATGAAAGCAAAAGCAGAGAAACAAGTACTACAATGACGAAAAGAGAAATCAGGGCAAAAATAACTGCGTTCCAGAAGAACTCAAAACCCAGTGTGAGCTGGTGGAGCGAGCAAGAGAGAGAGAGAGACATGGCTCACCACTGGTGTTATCTGTAGCCAAGAATCAAACTCGGGTTGGCAGCTTCGTAGCGCAGTAAGTTAGCCACTGTGCTACATGTCACCACATTGCAGCTTATATCATGAGTAAGTTCTAGAAAAGTTAATCGGTATTGCCATGAGGCATACGTAAAAACCACTCCTATTTATATGATGCAAGTTGAACAAGGTGCAGCTATTAGAAAAGTTGATATATTTTTTGTTTCATTAAAATCCTATTCTAGATGCCATAGCTGCAGGTTTAACCTTTTTCTAAACGTATAATTTATTTTTATTTCATTAACAAAATTTGACGGAGAGGTGAAAAAATTATCTCACGTCATATTTATTTCTCCTGTTGTTCCTAATCTGTATACGTGTCGTCACCTACAGGAATGGGCTTGGCAATCATTTCAGCGCCCTTTACGTCAGATTTCCGCAAAACCTCCATCACCCGGCCAAATGTGTCTCCCCGTCGTTCTTGACAGCTGCAGGCTGCCCTCCTCCTCCTCCTCTCCTCCCTCGCTCTCTCGTTTTGTTTGGCCGTAGCTCTCTAACAGGTGACACTGGGTTATCAGCACCTGTCACGAGCCCACAGAGATTCTCTCTCACGCGCGTTTTTTTCCCCGGCGCGCGCGGGGCTTGCGTTTCACGGCGCGCGCACACCGAGCCTCGGTGTCGCGAGATTCCTTCCCCCGTCACGTGACGCGGCCCACGCCACTCTCTGCTAAGTCGCCGACTTACGGAGATGTTACATTTTTTTCTCAAGAGTGAGCACGTGTTGATGGCTTCTTGCAGAACGTGGCATTTGGAAATCCACTTTGAGAGATGGGCTCACAATCGCTATTTGACCCCTGCAGGCGCATAGCTTTAATTTTGACCGTTTTTTATTTAACATTATTTTACCCAGATGCACGTTTGAGATGAGACATCCGCTTGCAGCCTTGCCACAGCAATGTTGTCGAGGCGTGTGCTGTTTGTTGCTAGGTAGGCCATCGCTCGTGTAGATGTTCTATAAAGTGTTACATCACATTCAATAAACCATTGTTACACAACGCACCCCCTTGTTAGTTTCAGATTATAGAATTCAAAGTATGTGTCGCTCCACACTTTTCAGCGTTTAATATATTTTAACCAGTGCCCATATTTCTGATCTAATAGTTAAACCAGTCAATAAGCACCACGTGTATACCTTCATCTTCAGGCACATTTGTGTTCTGATTTTCACGATTGCATTTACTTTTCCAAAAGCATCCAATTATTTTACTCAATTAAATACAAATGCATGTTCTACATTATAGCAGACACCATCTTCACGGAACAATTTTATTTTAAATAAATCTGAATTTCCAAACGTAATTTCCCCTTTTCATGGACTCACAGAAACGCGTCCCACTTACGCGAGCAAATAGCTGTGCAAGCGACGATCACTTTCGCTAAATGGAAAAAAATAATCAACCGAAAACCGCATGGGTGCCAGACGGCGTTTGCACCCAGAGCTGGGCCTGCACGCCGCGAGACGCGGCTGAGTGAGCCGGGTCACGAGTAAAGCAGGGAATTGCCACGGACGAGAACCCCCGGCCTGCCACGGGCTCGCGGTTCCTTTGTCCGGCTGCTTCCTCTGTCATTCATCTGCAAATTCACGACACCGCCCCCCCCCCTCCTCCCCCTTGCGCGCCCCGTCGCGCGCTCCCTTTCTGCGCGTCCCGCCACAGTAAGCCGCTCCGAAAATAGGCCCCCCCAGGTCGTGCGCACAGCCAATTTGTAAAGGTTAATTTGTCCAATTAACCCGTGAACGTTCGGTGGGGTGGGTGGGGTGGGGGGGTGGTGGGGGATTGTCCCCGGGGGTTGGTTTAAGTTGCCGGCATGTCAGCAGGGGATGGCTGGGTGTGGAGGGGGCGGTGGTGGCGGTGGGTAGGGCGAAGGGGGGCAACCAGGTCTCATCCGAGAGCTGCGCCACTGTCACCACTCGTGCCAGCGGAGATCAGCTACAATGAAACGGGGGGGGGGGGCGGGGGGGGCTTCTCTTAATCTCGTTACACGCCTAATTAGTAACGAATTTTCCCCCTTGATGCGTCCTCAAATCCCGGGGCTTAGCCGTAAGCCACTGCTTGGGAAACACCGGGCAAAGGGTTTTACAGTTGTCGTTCGCCCATTGTCTGGGAGTCGCAGCTTTAGCAGCGGTTTTATTTGCGAAAAACAATGAGACGTTCTGTTAATGTTTACCTATACATTGGATAATTAATCAGCGTTCCACGCAGTTAAGCTATGGCGTAACTTCATCATCACATAATCGGTCATCATCGGCCATGATCAATCCGCGACTGAACGAAGGCCACCCCAAGCCACCACCACCTCTTACGATGTTGCAAAACGGCAATCCATCCAGCGCCTGCGCATTCAATGATTTAATCACTTCATCTGCCCAGTGGATGTCCATTCAGACGCGTTCTATTTCTTGCTGCCACTCCTACCATTATTCTTCTAGAGTAGGCGTATTTTCAGCTGAAAATAATAGTTGTGTACAACTAGTGAAAACAATTCCTGTTGCTAGGAGCCATTATATTTTGTGATAATTAAAATAATGAAATAGTTGTATACAGATAAAAAATTGCGCTGAAACTTCTTGACTGCATTTTGTACAAAGAGTACATGTGCGTATATTACGTGCAAATATGAAGACCCCCCTCCATCGCAGACTCTTGTGGCAGGCGGTGAGAGTGAGTGTACAGCGTACGCAGAGTCAAACGTCTCTCTGATGGCCATGTAGATCGTTGAGGCGAATGCTGCTAGAGAACACGCCAGGCCGCCTTTGTGTCCCCAGCGTCGATACCTATGCACACAGCCTCTGGCACCGTTTTAAAGGCTCGGTCGACCTAGGGGATGTTCTACGAGCGGTTTAGATATTCGCCACTGCACGTTGACCGTGGCCGGGAATAGAACTTGGGTGACGGCACCTGGGCACGCAGAGCGATAGAACACCAAGCCGCTGGCAAGCTGAGCCTACGTGGGGGGTCGGTGGTGTCGCGGTTCGCGCACGGAGCTACGAACAGGAGACTCGAGTTCAATTCGCTCTCACGGCCAAGAATCCGTGACGAAAACCGCTTCTGGGCCTCGGCTGGGTCAACCCAGTATAAAAAAAATAGTGCGTGCGGCTGTTTGTGTAAACATCGATACCGGGAAGACAAAGGCGGACGGGCGTGACGCTGGCCGCACCAGCCTCTTGAGCCACCGCGCTCGCTAGCAGCACTTTCCCCCCAACGGTCTGTTCAGGCTATACGGGGGATCTTTGTCTTTGTTGTGTGTGCGTACGGGACCCCTTTGAATGCTTTGGGAGCGTTCCCATGACACTGAGCGGGGCACGGCAGAGCACAAACACAGGGGGGTGGGTGGGTGGGGGGCAGCTGCCCTGGAGGGGTCAGCCACTCTGACGCGCTCGCGGCCTCCGCCGCGGCTCTTTCCCATGTGGGTGATGTCACCGAAGTATGTAAATAACCGCCGGGCTGCACACCGGCCTTTAACGAAAACTCTAACAAAAAATACCAGCCACATAATAATGAATACAAAAATAAAATGTGCCCGCTCAAATGTAGCACGCCGAGTCTGTTCTCTTGGATGAATGGGGTTTTGAGTTGAAAAAAAAACCTTTTGCTAGAAAATCAAAAGAGGAAAAGTAGGAGCCGTAGGAGTGAATGGATGTTTGGGGAGTGGTGCTCGATCTGAAAGCAGCCTTTAAAATGTATTGACAAATGTGATTTAAAACAAATGGTCAAGTATTGAATGACATAAACAGAAATACCTTGAAAACATTGCTATATATATTTTCCGAGTTGTCGTTTTTTCAACCTGAAATAATCATTTGTGTCCTTTGGAAAATATAACGTATTTTGTTACTTACATTTTTACTTATTTTGTGTTGCGTATTATATAGTTTCGTGTTGAAATTAGGAGTCATATTTTACAGAGAAGGTCTTTGGCTCCTAGAATCTGGCAGTTCGCAAGCATTGGTTCAAACAAAGCCTGACTGCTGATGAGACATTTCAGGTTAAAGCGAGTCTAGAGGTTGCTTGCGTTGCGCTTATGCTGCTGTTAAAATGAGCACTCCCAGAAGGCCGCGTGACTGATGGGATGTGGAACAAAATACTTTTACTTTTATACGGGAAGGAGACGAATTGTCTGCTTCTTTATTTTGTATCTTGTTGTTTAAAATGAAACATTCTTGGTACAGGAATGACGCATATGGCTTCAGTTTACGTATTTTGGCACTCGATTTCAAAGTTACATTTGTCTGTTGTATTGCATATCATTTATCATTAACCCTTACGTCGGGCACGCCGTGATAAATGTAACCAATTCGCGGCAAATTACTTTGTGCAACCCAGCGTAAACAGTCACGTGACCATTGCGGCTCTCATTTATAACTCACGGAACCTGGAATAATTACCCAAAGAATGTAGCCGCACTTCTAAACATCCTCCAACATCTTGTTTATTTAAATCTAACAATAAAAAGCTTTAGGCATAATAAAGAAACCTTATGGATGTATTTGACTACATCGTTAAAATTAATCAATAAACGCTTGGACATTGATGCAAATTATGAAAATATAGACACACCGTTTTTGTTCTCACATTTTGACGAAGATCGTGACACAGAGGTACGAGTGAACAAAGTTGATTTGCGCTCCGGGGGTGAACCACTCGCTCTCTGTGTTCCCCGGAGAACGCGTCTCGCGCATCAACGCTCACGCTCGTGTCCTCTGGTGTTCCTCTCTCTTCGCTGGCTGCGCGTGCGCAGATTGCGAGGCCTACTGCAAAGTTCCAAAGAGCAAGCAGAAGCTGAACATCAAGAAGTACTGCAAGAAAGACTACGGTGAGGACTCGGCAGGAGGCTATTGCAGCGGCAGTGTAGCTCGCGAGACGTGCACCAGCAGAGCGACGACACGGGGGGGGGGGGGGGTGAAGTGTACATTGGGCCCCGTTTCACTGCTTGCAGCAGGGCCTATGCCAAGCACGCTCCTGCACCACTGGGCCCTTCAGCAACGCACCCAGGTGGACGATCAAGGGGCCAGGTTCAGTCCCGCAGTTCGTCAAAGTAAGCCAGATGTTATTGGCAAGAGCACTTTGTGTAACCTACGGGGCCCTGTGCTGCTTCAGACATCACTCGCCAGTGATGTTAGCCGTGGTCGGGAAACAAACTCGGGCCACCGGAATTCAATGCGCAGCGCTAAGTGTTGCACCACCACTCCACTCAGACATCTTCAAAGAGGCCGTAGCCTGCCAAGATCAGTCATGAGCTCCGGAGGGGCAGGCCTGAGGCAGAGATTAAACACTTTGATTCTTGTTTATATTCACCATGGCAGTGGCAAATGAGACGGTTATTGTACATTGGGTGCTAGTCTGGCTGAGAAATTTAATTTCCTCTTCTCCAAAACGTCATCTGAGATTTTAAACGCTTGTTTTCACTCTCGTAGTGCCAGCTCTGGCAGCACTATTGGACTTAGTGGCCCCTGGGGCTTCTATGACAAATGTTTAATTTATTTGGTTCATTTGTTTAACGCTGTCTCTTCAGCTCGTTTCCTTATGAGCTGCTGCTCCTGCCGCCGTGCGCACGTGCGCGTGTGTATGTGTGTGTGTAAGTGTGTGCGTGCGTGTGTGTGCGTTTCTGTGCATGCGGGTGTGTGCGTTCGTGTGTGCGTGCATCTGTGTGTGTGTGCGTTCGTGTGCATGTGCGTGTGTGCGTTCGTGTGCGCGTTCGTGTGCATGCGTGTGCTTGTTCGTGTGCATGCATGTGTATGCATATGTGTGTGTGTGCGTGCATCTGTGTGTGTGCGTGTGCTGCGCCTGCATTCGCTTCATGCTACGAGTGAGCACGCGTGTTTACTCGTGCGCACGTGTGTGCAAGGGCGTGACAGCGGTGTGCGTGTTAGAGAGTGCACGTGCGTACTCGAGTGGAAGCCTGTTGAGGGATATCCATGTGAGCTCCCTCCTCTGTGCCCATGCGTGGACCTGCTCCTGGTGGAAATATTTGGTGTGCGTGCATATGGGTTGATATGCAGTCTTCCCAATCGCCGTTTCCATTGAACAAGGCCCAATATTATAGACGGAGTGCTCTTGCCAGAACATTTCGTAACGCAGAAGCATGAGTTTCACAAGCCCGATTCTGCTGTGGAGACCCATTCGGTTTAAACTGGTCCGGAGTTAGCTTGCTTAAATAAATGTTAAATCTTGGTTTAAAGCTTTTGTGACTGCAGGAATTCATATTCTTGGGTGTTTCGGTAAAGTCACGTAGATAGGTTCAAAGAAAATAACAAAAATAACAAAAAACTACGAAGTTTCGATGGCAACACAAGCAATCGTCATCAGGAGAAACAATAGCGGGAAAGCTGCTGAGACAGGATCATTTTTAAAGTTTTAAATGTGTGTAGCCCAAGGGTCATTAGCGAAGTGGGCGGGGCTAGTGATGTTAAGGTGATAAATGTGCATGTCAATGCACGATCGGAGAGCTACCTCCACGACGACGAAGCTGCAGATACAATGTGGCCACCTCCGCAGCTTCGTCGTCGTGGAGGTAGCTCTCCGACCGTGCATTGACATGCACATGTATCACCTTATCATCACTAGCCCCGCCCACCTCGCTAATGACCCTTGGGCTACACACATTTCAAACCTTTAAAACATCCTGCCTCAGCAGCTTTCCTGCTAATTTTTTCTCCTGATGACGATTGATTGTGTTGCGATCGAAACGTCGTAGGTTATTATTATTATTTTTTGAACTTATCTACGTAACTTTACCGAAAGACCCAAGAAAATAAATAAACGTTGTTGGACAATGTTGGTTTGGAGCAGCCAATTGGCTGTCGGACTCAAAAAACTTTTTTTTAATATCCAGCTCAGCGTATCCACGCGGTTACCCATAATGCTTCACAATAACACATAACGAGTTAATTAGACGGATGATGTCGTCTCACTGGTGGTGTTTTTGAAGTTATATAGAAAGCAGACCACTCATTTGTCATTCAATCAATAAAAAAATTGCCCACTCAACTTGCCCCCGCGGGCAGCAGCGCCGTCTCCGTGCCGCCGCCGCCGCCGCCGCCGCTGCACCTCCCAGTGGACACCGCTTCGCCATGGCGGTCACCAATAAACATGCCCGATCGCGGTGGCGCACGCTCACAGCGGCGGGGCTGTTTGTGCGAACCTCAGGCGGCACGTGTGGTAAACTCATTCTGCTCTCTGCCCGTAACCACGTGGCTATGAAATGGATTTTGTTCTTCTGATTTCATACGACCGGAATGCGCCCAGCAAAAGTGAAGCCACGCCCGTGGGACTTCTTGGCAAGGACGCTGATGCTGAGGCATCCGTCTCGGGAGCTTTTGGATATGTGCTCCTTCTCTTTTGCTGTTTATGCATTTACAATGTCAAAACAACACATTTATGTCCGCAACTTTTAGTTTTACATATACAGGGTGCCTAATTTTTTTTACACTTATATGGGAATATCGTTTGTAATGGAAAATGAACGGATACTACACTGTAACTTGATAACAAATGTATATGAATAGCTTCAACAAGTCAGAGTCTCAACTTGTTCGCCATCATTGTCAACACGTGCCTGGAATCTTCTCCAGGTGATCTCCAGAGCCCGGAGGAACATTTCTCGTGGTACTGTTGCAAATTACATTGGCCCAAAGAGCCATGGGGGAAATCGGAATGTTTCTAAGCTTCACCTTTATGGCACAAACACTTGCATTGGAACAAAAATGGCGGTCACATTTACAAAATGCCAGTTACCAATTGTAACAGAAGCAGTATAAGCACACGTGGAAGGTAACGGGTTGGCCAACCAACCCAATTCTGAAAACGTCCTGCATATTACTTACTTAGAGATGACATACAGGTTTGAGATTGGTCACCGCACCGTGGGCTGCTACTCATCATCCACTGGTGCAGGAGGTGTGTGGCCGGGTTGAGGACGCTTGGCAGGTGAGCCGCATGGGGGTGGCCACCGCCTGCCCTGCTTTGAAACTGATCGTGCAGCCCGCCAATAGCTCAAACGTAATTCTCTCTCTTACTCAACACCCCCTCTTACGGACACCTACAAGCCGCACGACGAATCTCACACACACGCGTGCGTTCGTGCGTGCGCAGCCATCCAGGTACACGTGCTGAAGAAGGAGGCGGTAGGCGAGTGGACCAAGTTCAGCGTGAACGTGGTGGCCGTGTTCCGGCGCCGCAGCGGCGGTGGCGCCGGCGGCGAGGGCCGTGCGCGCCGCGGCGACCTCGCGCTCTGGGTGCCGAGCCGCGACGTCGCGTGCCGCTGCCCGCGCCTGCAGGTCGGCCGCAAGTACCTGGTGCTGGGCGGCGAGGCCCACCAGGGGGCAGGGGCAGCTGGGGCTTCCGAGTGGGGTGGCGGCGGCGGTGGCGGGGGCCCACCTCCGGCCGCGATCGCCGCCACCGGAGGGCTCCTGGCCGACCGCTCGAGCATGGTGGTGCAGTGGCGCGACACGTGGGCGCGCCGCGTGCGGAAGTTCCAGCAGAGGGAGAAGAAAGGCCGCTGCGGGAAGCTATGAGGCCCCCCCCCCTACCGCGTCTCTCCACCAACGCCCCCCAACCCGTCGACTCTCGGCCGAGCCGCACCGCCCCATCCCGTTCCGCCCGGTGCTCCTCTGCGGTCGCGAGAGAGAGAGCGAGCGTCGGTCGCGTGATGGATCGCTGCCGGTAGTCCGACCGTGGCGTGCGGGAGGCCCGCGTGGATTGCGTGCGCGTCGCTTCTCTTTGTTTCGCCGAGCTGGACAAACGGAGCGAGGTCGAGGCTTTGACTCGGCCAGGGGACTTCCGCAGAAGCGCGAGAAACAACGCGACGGAGCGAAGCTGCAGCCGCGGGCCCGTCACTTTCACGGCGTTCCGACAGCGTCAGATTCATAATCGGCGGAGCGTGTCCGCGCGTGTGTCCTTGTGCACGAGTTAGCAAACTATAATTCCCACCTTCGTACCCCGTATATATGTATGCGCCTGTATATACATATATAGCAAGCATACGATTTTTTTTATTGCATACTTAATGTGTTGTGAAGTATAACAACAATGACTGCGATGTTATGCGTCTCGAGTGAACAGCTTCACCTTGACGGGGAAGAGCTGAGCAACTTGCATTACGGATGTTGACACACGATCACCGGTCACAACGCATCGCTACACATGTCCGTTTACACCATGTTGGCAGATTTACGAAAATATCACCACAGAATAACGACTAAAGCAACTGAATGCAGTTCATATTCAAATTATGGGTTCTGGGCAATCCGAAATAAGAGCTAGTTATCGTTTATGATCCCATTATAACGATCACAATGTACCACCTGCGCTATTCGCTTTCAGTAAATGTCTATGGAATGGAAGGACTTTCACTGCGAAGTCGTAACATTCACAACTGTCATGAGCAAATTACTCCAGGGCGGTCATTTATCATCACTCTTGCATGATCGCTCCCAGGTTGTTTCCGTTCCTGTTAGAATTTGCCTTCGCACTGAGGATGTGATTCGGATCCGTGAGAGATGAAGACAGATTGGAGAGGCTTTCAGACCAGCAGTGGATTGAGCGTGGCTGATGGTGACGACGATGAATTGATTTAATTGGTGAATCTCTTTCGATTGAGGTGGCAATGGACAGACACATTGCCCTATTTCACGTGCACCGAGTGTGCATTCAGCCAACGCGTGCATTTTAAAGAACGGTGTCTTTAAAATACGTCAGTGTCATTTGGAACGTGCTCACATGTATAAAGCTATGCGCGCACACACACGCACAGAGACGCAACGCACTGTAATTTAGATGTCTACGTTTGTTTGCTCGTTTTGAATTTATTGTAAGGCAAAGTAGTGGCAAATGCATAAAGCTGGCCGTCCTGAGAATTTACGAACTCACGCGCGTCGTCCTGTCGCTATCTGAAGCTAGCAAGACAAAAATCACCTAATCATAAAGTATATCAATCAACGCAAAGTAACGCGAAATAAAACATTTACCGAATTTATCTCACAAATTGCCTTTTGACGGTGGGCCAGAATGGCTGCATTGAAAGCTTACGGTGTGCGTGGCATTTGCTGTTTTCCTTTTAACCGACAAACAAAGCTCCCCAACTAAGTCTGCAACCGAGGCGGCCAGGGAGGAGTAGGCGCACCGAGACACCACCGCGCACCCTGCAGGGTGGTGGTGGTGGTGGGCCATGCGCGGGGTGGGCGTGGGGGCGCGGCTGCACTCCGTTCTCCCATCGCGCCACCGCCACTGCCGCCACTCTCGTCGTCTTTTCCGTCTCCCCTCGAGTGCTGGAGCAGCCGCGCCGCTCACAGCGCTCGCTGGATGGCGCGGCGCTGCAGCAGTGGCACGGAGAGCCGGGGTCTCGTCGGCCCCTGCCTTCGCTCGCGGTGTACATCACCAAACCTCGAGTAGAAATTCGTTTCGAACGAGAATTTAACGAAAAAAATTCTTCACATAGGGCATCGCGACTTGCAGTTCAGCGGCCAATGCGACGACGTCGTTTTGATGATGTCTGCGGTCCTCTTCTTGCGCATGGAGGCGGGCAGTTGATTGGCGGCGTTTGTGCGATCACGCCGAGGTGAGCCAGCGGACGGCTTCACGTGTAGCCTCATGGGGAATGTCCGAAATGCTGCCGGCGAGTGACCAAAGCGGGCAGTGGCTTTACCGTGCACTCCACGGTTCTAGATCGGTCGCTGGGGTTGCACTCAAACTTCCGGTGTCGCTTCCGGATTGTCCATGGCTTGCAGGCAAACGTAACCCTTAACTATCCATTTCTTAAGTTTGCCTTCAGAGCGTTTTGTAAACATTATGCGAGCCCCAAAATCTACCACGCTGAGTGCCAATTCTCTGGCAATGACTGACGGCGTAGAGCGCTCATCTGGTTAATGTGCGACACTTTTGAATCTGCCCTTTGATCATCGTTTTCTTTACAAGAAACGCCGAGCTCGAGCCAGTGCAAGAAAGGCGGTCGTGCAGGAGACGCGTGTGCGCGCGCGTGTGGCGTTCATTGCGTGTGGCCCACGTCACTTGGAGGCCTGTTGCCGTCCTCCGCGTTGCTGTCGCTGGCGTTTGCTTGCCAGGTGACGTTATCCATTAAACACTAGCGTGGAAAGTGTAGATATTGTTTTCGTACTGGACACAACGGTAGAACTATTTGTGAGTGCGCAGAGCGCGAACGTGTCTCTGGAGGTGTCGTCACTCGGCGCGGTGTGCGGGAGCTCTGGACTCCAGGGTCGACCCAATGGCATCTTCGGACAACTTTTTTGATCAAATAACAAAACACGATTCCGAATTGTACGCGTATATTTTCATACATGCCACATCATTACTCGCCTCATTGTGGAGAATAAAAGTGACAAAATATATCATCAGACGGTATGTCTCCTTCCCATATCTGTTCCTCCGCATAGACTAGGCTCTAAGAAAAGCTGTCTCGGGTGTGGAACAATCAACTTCAAGGACAGTGCTCATTATCAGAGTTATGTCTTTTGTTTGTATTATGACTGCAGGTATTGCGGTCTATGCAAACATGACTCCTTGTAAAAAGGTGTCAGTTTTGTTGCCAGATAGAAGGGTAAAAAACAATTATCAAGAGTGGAGAACTTTTTGTGGTGGTGGTAATTGGTGCAAGGCGTTTTCCTCGTATTGAACAAAATGTTGCTGAAAAATAGCTTCCCGGAGGGTGTGTGGCTGATGGGAAGTGTAAAAAATACTTGAACTCGTTACGTGGAGAGACAGATATGGAAGTGGGCCCTATTGTGTGATTCATTGTTTCGTAACAAATATTTTCAGGTATTTATACGAATGAGGATGTCACTTAATTTAGCAAATAAACAGATACACCTTTTAATTTCTCGATAGAATATAAATAAATCCTTTCCTATATTTTGAATATAGTAGACTCACACTAATTTGAATTAATCGGGCCCTTGCTGAAAATGGGTCTGCATTTAAGAAACTCGCCAGAGGTGTGAACACGCTTAAAGTAAAGCCATGGTGATTTGTAGTCCTTGTGAAGGGACGAAAGCATAGCATTTGTGATATGTACCTCCGCAAGAGCCGATTACATAGCAACATTTACAATAATACAGAGTCTTACAAAATTATCCGATAGGATTATTAAGCGTTCTATATAATTTTAGGGTAACATAAGATATTGAGGATTTTTTTGTGTGATAAGTTACGCATTTTATATCGCTAGTTTAAGATATCTTTAAATAGCTTGGTGACTATAATTGTAATAGTACTGACTACCACTGTCATTTTCCACTTAATGCATATAAACTACCACTGATGATGCCATATAGGACATTTCGTAGTGTGTGAAAAGCAGAGCGTTCATTAAGCACTCGACGGCAAGGATTGACTAAAGACTGCGCTGCGATGCGCTGCATTGTCACAGGTCTGCGTGGCAGGGTGGAGCCTCACACAAACAGGCGCCTGTGGTCGAGTCCCGACTCAAGCACCTTTCTGTGTGGGGTTTCGATATTTCTCCCCCTTTCCTGCATGGGGTTTCCTCCCATAGCGAATACAAAAACGCAATGTAACTGATAATGGCCCAACATCCCAATGCTGACAAATTACCTGCAAATTAATCCATTTGGATTACACAGCAACATCGCCCCCGACTGCGAAAACTTCGCAGGGTCCCTCCTAAAAAGAGGCAGACTGCCTGGCGAAACAAGCGTGGTGAAAAATAATTAAATATTATACAGCATCGATGTTCGATCGTATTCATCGGATAAGATGTTAATCTTTAGTCACTGCTGCCTTGTGAGTTAGAGTAACTAAGCTATCAACGGTGATAAACTGCTACACAGCGGTAATATAAAACATTTAATCAATGCAGTAACACTTCACACTCGAAACGTGTTGTACGATTCTGCAGAATCTCACACAGGGTCCCTACGCCTGGAGCTGGATTTATGTCGCAGTATTGTTATTAAAGTGCTGGGTTCGTAGGGTTTTAACGACTAGTCAAGGTTTATATCACATAAGGAACTCTAGACAAAGCAACCGTGTGATGATCCTTGTGGAAAAGTGAATGCTTAATTTTAAGAAGTAAATACAGATTGCGTGCATGGTTTTAAAATAACCCGTTATAGTTTGTGTAGAGTGGAAAGCTAAAATGTCGCCTGCGGTCCTCGGTGTAACTTCACTTGTGCAGCAGAGTTCGGTTTGTGGAGCCCTCAACGACGAGAGTGTCAAGTTGGTGGGGATATGCACGGGAAAGCTGACAACTCCGATTTAAAGCAGGCTGAGCCAACTCGTCATGTTGATAGAGTGTAGAGAGTTCGAGTTACATGGCAATGATAGAAACCATATTGTTCAGCATTCGGACTGCAGGGCTTCCAGACGACGACGCGGAGTGGTCACGTTTTGAAGAGAGATCTCGTGAGCTCTGTCGGTTTATACAGATTTAGAGCGTGTCTGGAAATGAGCAATTATCCAATTAATTATCATGGGCAAACATGACATTTAATTGTTCAAATATCCATGCCCCAATAGGTAAGCCACGCATGGAGCGCATTAAACAAATGGCTGATGAATGGGCTAATAGGCAGCATTCCATTTCATTGCGGCGTCGCAGCAGCTTAAAATTAAGCATTTTCGATATAAAAGTGGATTTTATAACGTTGGTAGACTAAAGACGACGCGGTCGTTTTAAAGCAAGTGTCACAGGGTAAACGGTATGTAAAATGCATAATGTATAAAGTGTTGTGTACATAACGAGCGTTCAGTGACCCGCTGTGTGTCCTTTATATGCCTGGCTTGGTAGTCACTTTGCCTGTGAGTTCGTGGAGTGAGAGTTGAGGGCACAGTTAACCTTTGAACTTTCACAAGTAGGTGTTAACCTCAAACGCATAGTATTATTTTACTACTTTTAAACACTTTACAATAATTCAATGTTTAGTTTCGTAGTTATCTTTTTAAAGGTTTTTTTTAAAGGTTTTTTTTTTCAATTTACCTATACACTAATATATTGCCCCGTTGCATTATATAAAATAAATATCTTATTTAATTTAAAAGACTGTTTGTTTATTTTATCATTTAGAAATCAAATTGAAGATTTTCTTAGTGTTGTGAATATCTGCAATTTTACGCAATGTTAGGCATAACTTTAAAGGACATATAAGCAAATATAGGTTTTAAAAATTCTCTGACTGAAAGCTTTTTGCTTGGTTTTTAACAGTTGTCCGTCGTTATCAATCGTAATAAACGCAACCTCACTGCAACAACGGAGCGGCTCCTCAGATTCATTGTGCGAAAGCAATAAATAGTTGACGCTGTTACTGTGTGTCTGCCTTGTGTGTGTATCTTGTGTGTGTCTTGTGTGTGTGTCTGCCTTGTGTGTGTGTCTGCCTTGTGTGTGTGCCTTGTGTGTGTGTGTCTTGTGTGTGTGTCTTGTGTGTGTCTGCCTTGTGTGTGTGTCTGCCTTGTGTGTGTGCCTTGTGTGTGTGTGTCTTGTGTGTGTGTCTTGTGTGTGTCTGCCTTGTGTGTGTGTCTGCCTTGTGTGTGTGCCTTGTGTGTGTGTGTCTTGTGTGTGTGTCTTGTGTGTGTCTGCCTTGTGTGTGTCTTGTGTGTGTCTTGTGTGTGTGTCTTGTGTGTGTGTCTGCCTTGTGTGTGTGCCATGTGTGTGTGTGTGTCTTGTGTGTGTGTCTTGTGTGTGTGTCTTGTGTGTGTGCCTTGTGTGTGTGTCTTATGTGTGTCGTGTGTGTGTCTTGTGTGTGTGTCTTGTGTGTGTCTGCCTTGTGTGTGTCTTGTGTGTGTGTCTTGTGTGTGTCTGCCTTGTGTGTGTGTCTTGTGGGTGTCTTGTGTATGTCTGCCTTGTGTGTGTCTTGTGTGTGTGTCTTGTGTGTGTCTGCCTTGTGTGTGTCTTGTGTGTGTGTCTTGTGTGTGTCTGCCATGTGTGTGTCTTGTGTGTGTGTCTTGTGTGTGTGTCTTGTGTGTGTCTTGTGTGTGTCTGCCTTGTGTGTGTTTTGTGTGTGTGTCTGCCTTGTGTGTGTGTCTTGTGTGTATGTCTTGTGTGTGTGTCTTGTGTGTGTCTGCAATGTGTGTGTGCCTTGTGTGTGTGTTTTGTGTGTGTCTTGTGTGTGTGTCTGCCTTGTGTGTGTGTCTTGTGTGTGTGTCTGCCTTGTGTGTGTGCCTTGTGTGTGTGTGTCTTGTGTGTATGTCTTGTGTGTGTGTCTTGTGTGTGTCTGCCATGTGTGTGTGCCTTGTGCGTGTGTCTTGTGTGTGTGTCTTGTGTGTGTCTGCCTTGTGTGTGTCTTGTGTGTGTGTTTTGTGTGTGTGTGTGTCTTGTGTGTGTGTCTGCCTTGTGTGTGTCTTGTGTGTGTGTTTTGTGTGTGTGTGTCTTGTGTGTGTGTGCCTTGTGTGTGTGTGGGGAGCGGTGGTGTCGCGATTAGCGTGCCGCGCTAGGAACCTGGCGACCCGAGTTCGAATCGCGCTCACGGCCAAAATCAGTGACGATTATCGGAACCGGTCCTTGACCTCTTTTAGGTCAACTCCGATTCAAATGAGTACCTGGTGTAGTGTGTAAACATCGCCGCCAGGGAGACAAAGGCGGCCGCGCGTGGTTCTGGCCACCCACCATCTCGTGCGCCGTGTCAACCTTCATAGGTGCTACTCGCTAACAGCACGTGCCCCAACAGTCTGTTGAGGCTACACGGGGGGGGGGGGGGGGGGGGTCTTTGTTTTGCGTACCCCCACAATACCGGGACGGCGGGTGGGGAGGCACTCAAACTCGAGTTTGAGTGCCTCTGCAAGGGCACGCCTCCTCGCGTTATTTGTTTGCCCGTTCGACTGAAGCGCCGCAAGTTTCAAGACAATCCCTCAATGTTTACCGGTTGCTCAACGCAGTTGGGAAATGCATCACGGTCAACGCACGTGCAGTGTCGTGGTGGTGTAGAGGCAGTGCCGGATTATCCTCGTAGCACAAGTAGCTACATATGTAGTAGCTACATATGTAGTAGCTACTGGCCCCCGCACTTTCAAGGACCCCGCGCTAAATGCTTTCAAGCTATCAATTCCGGTTCAGTGATTCTGCACTTGCTCTATTACTATAGTACTATACCACCTTCAACTTTTATGAACGACTGGGTGTTTAAGGTTAGAGATTTGTCGTATTATCTGTGGCTGTATAGCAAATGAAAAAATACAATTACTTTATTATGCAAGTAAAAAATGTCCACTCTTTGTTTTTTTCGGTAAAGTCATGGCGGTAAAAAATAAAATTAATGAAAACAACTAAATTAAATCACGACGTTTCGGGCGCAACACAAGCATCCTTCTTCAGGTGGGGACAACGTAGCAAAAGCACAACCGCTTAAGTGTGTCTTAAAATGTCTGTTTTAATATTTGTGTATTTTTATTTAGGGCCCCTTGATAACAGATGCTACAGGCCCCGCACGAGCTTAATCCGGCACTGCTTCCACCCTCGTGTTCGAGGTCAGGGGGTCGGCAACCTGCGGCCCCGGAGCCGCACGCGGCTAAAGGCTGCCTTTGTGACGTCAGTCACCACGTGCATTGCGGCTCTTGAAATATTGAGTTTGTGTTAGCGAATTCTTAAAACAAAAAATGTCTCCTTCTTGTTAGTTTGGTCGCCGACCCCTGTTCGAGATCCACGAACCTCTTCTCTGTGTTCGGCGTCCACACTACGGGTCACCTCTCTTTGGGCTTCTCCCACGCTATTACAACTACCCTGCCAAATTCAAGGAACGCGTTAACTCTCATCACTCGCATATGTGATAATGCTGGCCACGTTGCCCACCGGAGACCAAACCCGACCACGTATGTGATCAAAACTGTTCAGTCGACTGTGATGAAGTTCTACACAGCACCACTACCAAGACCTTGGTACAAATCAATTAATGCCACCCGATCACAGATGCCAACTCCTGGAGTGTCTGGGTCAAGCCTGGGCAGCGTGGCAATGCTACTACGTCTGTTGCTGGCCATTTGACGTGTTGGGCCTTGCCTCAGAGAGTGTGTTTAAAAAGCACAGATACTACTCCTGTTGTCCACCAACATAGACCAATGACGTTCCTCGGTATAAACAGACAACAGCCAAAGCGGTGCTCCCCTCCAATGAGCGGGACTCATCCACCTTTTACAACCCTGGGCCACTGGTGGACATTCCACATTCATATGGGTGGGGCGAGTCTATCCATAGGAGAGCCACTGTGGACTTGCCCGCAAAAAGCTACTGGTTTCATTCACTGTGTACACTCGTGTACAGTACGTAGAAATACTGTGTATAATTTTCAAGTCCACGAATTTCAGAAATTGTACTCGGAATTCGCCGTGAAGTGTTTTAAAGCTCGATGAAGTGAAGAAATTCCCCAAATACCTTGAGTTGTCTTCGTGATGTATGATAGCACATTGCTTATTTATTTATTGCTGGAGCAAGAGTTTTCTGAGAAATTGAGAGCAGATGAGGGAGGAGGCTGCGCTGGAGCGATCCCCGCGACACTGCGAGTCTCGTGGCATCGACTCGTCGACTGATCGACTCGCCAACCGATGGAATGATCGACTGATCGACTCATTGACTCATCGATCCCATCGACTCATCGATCCCTTCGACTCATTGACTCATCAACGCATTGACTCATCGACT